GAAATACAGACCCAGTGAAAGAGAGAAACACCTCCCAACACTATGGAGCAGAACCAAATAGAAAAATAATTTGGAATAAAAAGAAAATAACATAAACAAAAACGATTTAAGGCAAAAGAAGGCAATGGAGAAAAGTCAGACCATGTTTAATCTAAGATTAAAATATAAAGAGAAAGCAAATCTCAAAAGACTGAGACCTAATGGATATCTGATGCTCTTCTCGACTCCACCCTCTTTGCTTCTCATCCATGAGCAGGGCACTGGGCTGAGTGGCTTTCTAGGGACATTGGGCTGTTGTGTAGAAATAGAAAGATGAGATGAAAAAGAAAAGAAGAGAGATACAGACAGCTGGAGTTGAAGCTTAAAGTTTTATCACAGGCAACAAATTTAAATGGGAGGTTCTTAATCTAACATATTAAATCATTGTTTCAATGATTGTATGTATTTAGGTGGGGGACACAAGATACCAATGGACAGTCAGGCACTTTCATTATAAGGGAGCCATACTTCCAGAGGCCCCACATGAAGAGGATGCTGAGCAGCTAGAGCAGCTGGGTCACACAGGCAGGCAGACTCAGAACTGGAACAGGAAGTATGGGTTAACTTGCTTGTCCAGGGGGATAGAAAATAGGCAAAGCACTCCAGTGGCAAGGAGTAGATTCTAACAGTGATTGCCTACATTTGCAGAGCTGGAAAACAGTGCCTGAGAATGGCTCTTCCTGAATTGGCAGTTTGTCCATTTCAATAAAAATGTTTCATTTATTCCTATGTATTTTATATTTTTTCTTTATTGATTAAGATATTACATATGTGTCCTTTTCACCTCATTGTCCCCCCACTCTCCCTCTCATGTCCTCAGCCCCCTGCTGTCTATGTCTATTGACTTGCATGCATATAAGTCCTTTGGTTGATCTCACCCCTTTCCCCTACCCTCCTCTGTCTTCCCTCTGAGGTTTGACAGTGTATTTTATATTTTTAAGCAGTTGTACATGGAATTTTGTTCTTAGTTTCTCTTTCTGATAGTTTATTATTGGTGTATAGAAATGAAATTGATTTCTGGATATTTATTTTGTGTACACCTGTTTAAAACCTATATCATTTTATTAACCAATGTCACCCCAATAAATTCAATAAAAAACAAAAATGTCAATTAGAAATCATACCTGTGCACAAATAGATTTATTTTTTATTTATTTTTCAATTACAGTTTACATCAATGTTATTTTAAATTGGTTTCAGGTGTGTGCACAAATAGATTTAATTCTTGAGAGAATTAAATAGATTTAATTCTATTCCATTTGAAATAGAAATCTTTTGAAAATTTCTGTTGCTCATTTTCCCACCTTCTCAAATACAGGACTGTATATCAGACTTATTTTAACCTTTCCATGGGACTCAGGGTCATGCCATGAATATTAATTGTGACCACATGCTGGACTGAGTCATTGATGCCCCAAGCCTGTGAGAATGTCACATTCTGTGGCCCTGTACTCATACCTTCAGGCAACTGCATTTTTAAGGTCAGGTGGCTTTTTAGGGTTATGCCTTTTTTTCTTCTTCTTTTGCTATTAGTGTTTCTACCCAGAGAAGTTGCATCTTTCCCTTTTAATTTTCTGTTTCCAGACTATAGTGAACTTAGAAACTATATAGTTGGTTATAAATACTGGTAGACTGAGAGCAAGCAAGTGCTGCGGGAGAGTCTGATGATTTCTTTTTCTAGTGGCAATATTCTAATGTTTAGAGTAGTATGAACTTTGTGACTCGATTTTGAGCAGCAAGGATCATGTATTTCTTAGTTCTCAGCTATATTGTCACCAGATAACTGAGTTACTGAAAGGTGCCATGTCATATGTTCGTTTATTTTGAAAACTATCCTGACAAAAGGCTAAAATTTTTTCAGAATTAGTTGTGGTAGGATAAAGAAGGTTACTAAAGGATACTTACCCCATTAACTTTTACTGCATCTTCATCTGCCCAGTTGATTTGTTTGACACCACAGTGATGGGCACCATCCCCTTGAATCACCTTCAACTCTGATACAAGGCTCGGCTGAGCTAGGACCATTCCAACTCATGAAGGTTGTGTTCGCAGACTTTTGTGCTCAAAAGATGTCTGCTTTGAAGTAAAGGCAGATAACATTTTTTACAACAGCAGTGAGAATTGGTACTTTCGCATTTTAAATAGAATATTTGTCTAAGAGACATTCTGGTTTGTGGATATCAATTATCTGCTGCAAAAGATGATTTGGCAGGAAGAGTGCCAGAGGTCACTCTCAGGAACATTCTCTCACTAGTTATGACTATTAAGACCCACAATCTTACAGTTATGGAGCTGGTCTTGCAATTATGTTGCATCAACCTGATTATTGCTATATTCTAGAAAGGGATAAAATCCTGTAGAAAACAAAAGGTAATAAAAAAATTCACCCACTCAATGGGGAAAAAGGAGGATATCTGTAATACTTTTAATAATAAATATAAATTTAAAAGATAAGATAAGTAAATAAAGTCATCCTCCACTTAGACTTTCTTGGTTTATAATATATTCCAGACTCTAGTCCTATGTCATAATGACCTTGATACATAAGGAAGCATCTCATGGAGGTCACATGTCCCTTTGTAAGTTGGACTTATACACTGAGAGTAGGAAGTAACCCAGGGCATGGCCAGGACTTCATTTGCATTACGTGATTTTGAGTATGCCCCTTTAGATTAAATAGTAATTTTAGGAAGCTGCTTGGAGCACCATTTGGACTAATGACCCTTCATTGAAAAACCTGCACGGTATTCCCTTAGACTCTACTATTGAATCTTGTCATAGAGTTTCCTCCCAGTGAATCACTTCAAGATGTACAGAAATCAAATAAGATGTCATTTTAATTAGTTAAGGATATTTATTGGACATTACCTGAGTGAAGAACTGTATACTAGGTCTGGGAGACTGCAGTCTTATTGGGGAACCTCTAAGGTAGGGGTGCCGAACTCAATCAGAGAAGGGGCCAAAATCTAAAATCCAGCCTAAATCGCGGGCCGAATGGTTTACTGAACAGTCATAAACTGTCATTGTGATGGAAACGCAGCGGAGTGCAGTGATGACAGCGTGGTGCGGGCCACATTGCAAGGCCTGGCGGGACGGATTTGGCCCGCGGGCCTTGTGTTTGACACATGTGCTCTAAGGGATACATTTAGAAGAATGTATGGTTCAGTTATAGGATCAACCTTAGGCAGAACCGCATTGCACGATCACTTCTCTTGTCACCTGTCTATTGAGTCTTCCTTGGGAAATGGCACTAGGAGTGGTTCTGAAGGGACAGGAGGCTTAGATGAGCAGAGAAGATGGGAAAGAGCAGCAGGAGAGGAAGGCATAGTGAGAACAGTACTCATGGGCCACCAGGATGGACACAGACTACTGGCGAGGCTCAAACCCAAGGCATGTGTTTGAGGCTTGACAATGATAATTTAGCCATTGAAAATGTTGAATAAAAAAGTGTTATAATTAAAACCATTCTGAACAAAGATTAGTTTAGTATGTAAAATTAATGAACTAAAGGCAACAGAGGGACTGCTCTAGTAATCATGCCATATGCTTCCAAGGACCTAAACTATGGTAGAACTGCTAAGAATGAAGAGGGAAAGAAGTAATATACAACATATTTTATTTTTATATATGAAGATGTCATATAATTAAAGTTTAGTGATAGTTAAGATTGTAAGGGATTCAAAGTGGGTGGGGCATTAGGAAAGAGTAGGAAGAATGAAGGCGAATGTGCAAAATGGGGACATGTTTATAATTTAATAAAATAAAATAAATTTTCATGGCTTCCTCAAAATTCGGCTTGGTGTTGGAAGAAGTTAAGAGTAGCCTTGAATTTACTTTTAATTTTGAGAAGGTTTCAAGAAATTTCTTTTTCCTTTATTATCAATGATATACCACCGTTCTCTGATACCCTAAGACCTAAGCAGAATCCAAACTGGAGACCTAATTTTGTCTTTTACTCTTTTCCTTAATCTCTGTACCCAAAATGATACAGCTACCTTTTAAGTGTCTGCTTTATCATTATCCTCTCCTCTGAATTCCCAATGCCTCTATCCAAGCCCACTTTTGCTTGCATTTCTTCAGTTGAATAGTGATAACTGACATCTTTCTGGTACTTATGTGGAAGGGGGTAGTTCATGTTACAATTTAAGAAGAGAGACATAAAATTTCCATTTATGAATAAAAATCTATTTTCTCTAGCTATAATTTAAAATTTTATTTTCTGTACTATAAAAGTTAAAATAGTTGTCTATTACATTCTGAAAGGAGGCCATTCACCAGAAACTCTGTTCAAAATCTAATCCAAGTGGGGAATCTGCACATATTATGAAGGATGAAGAGGGCATCTCAACTTGTACCAAGGGTGTTAAGAGTGAAAGTTAAACCTACACTTTTGATTGGTATTGATAAGGCCCTTCCTGAGCCTTTATCTTTCAAGAAGATCATTCCTTTTGGAGAAAGAGCAAATTGGGCTACTGTAAATTGATTCTTGGAAACTTCTGAAGTTTTGGGCATTATTTATTTCATTAGTTCTTGTTCCATTAGTCAGCACTGGACACAGAGAGCTCCTGTCCTTTAGGAAAATCAGGACAAATCACTTTTTTTTTTTTTTTTTTTTTTTTTTTTTTTTTTTTTACCACATATATGTTTTTTATCTACTTCTCTGGAACATCATAAGTGTTGTTGGATTTATCAACTGTATTTGGTACTTGCAACATAATTTACCTAAAGCAATGTGGTAACCACAGAAGTATTTTGAGATTAACAAATATGTCATAACATAAGTCTAATGTAATAAAAATAATTACATTCTGACACCATCTCTAAAGTATTAGGCCAGGTTATGATGCTGAGGACAGCATTCCGGATATGATTCTTATCCTTATACATATGGTTTAGCACAGCCAATCTGAATGTTTACAATGTGATTTCCAGCTTGTAAGAATATCTGTTATATTTTTCAGCTTCTCCAGTTGGCAACGGTTATATCAAGCCTCCAGTTCCACCTGTGTCTGGCACACAAAGGGAAAAAGGGCCACCTACCATGTTACCCATCAGTGTGGACCCAGACAGCAAACCAGGGGAATATGTCCTTAAGAGTTTATTTGTCAACTTCACCACCCAGGCTGAGCGCAAGATTCGCATCATCATGGCAGAACCACTGGTGAGTATGCCCCGTGATGCCTGTTTCTTCTTAAATTAATCTTTACATTGAACAGAGGGGATTTTAAAACTCTAAGAAATGATGGATTGCTTTTCCCCTAATGTCCAGAGATTTTTTAAATACCATTAGTAAGTTTTTAAAGATTATAGTTAAGTTTCCTAATTTAATTAAAAACATTGAGGGTTGAAGACTTAAACAATCCTCAGGAAATACATTTCAGTAGCACATTTTATTACTAAGCTTAAGACTATCACCATAATTGAACAATAAGAAGTATTGATCATAGAAAAATTGTGTTCAGTCTTTATGCTGACATACTTTAGTCAATGTCTTTGTCCTGTTCCTAGAGTAAATAAGAGGGGGAACAACAAAGGGAACTATTGTTGTTCAAGTGTCTGCCTGGACTGTCAGTTTGAGAACACATGGTCTCAGTGATACAGGGTTTGAGGAGGCTTTTTGGTGTGTCATTCAGAAACACCACTTTTTTTCTGAAAATTGGGAGTTAGATCATTCTTGGCTCATTACCTTTAGGTCCCTTAGTAGATGATGCTCTTAGACATTGGTGTCTTTCTTTGCAGCTAACTCTGCCACAAAATAAGTCATGTGTTGTGGCCATGTGTTAATTGTTGGTTCTAAAAAGGAAGGTCTGCAAGGAAATCCAAGTAGTAGATTCAGATTACTGGTTTTCTGACCTTGTACACACAATGCGAGAAAAGGAGAGAAATTCAGAGTAATGCAGCTTGCTCTGTGAAGCTGAGCATTGTTCCTCCTGTGGGAATCCTGGCACACACAAAGTCTGAAGTTTGTTTTATAGCATCATAGCTTAAAATAATTAAATGTAATGTTATTGAGCCAAAACACAAGTTTCTAAAAATGTGTAACAATGCAAGGGTTAGGGATCAGAAGTGAAGAATATTTAAGTGTGTAGTTACCTGGATGTTACCCACTTTGCATTTTCAAGTTTGTATCAGATCAGTGGAGGTTATTTTTATGAATTCTAACTTCTTATAAAAGATGTTCCTTGGTTTTGTCCTTTAAATCATTTAAATTAAAACATACTACAGTATCTTTTCCCCATTCACTCATATTTTTATGTTTCTACTATTCTTATAATCCTATCTAATAAAAAAGTAATATGCAAATTAACCATCACTCCACTACACCCATAAGCCATGCCCACAAGCTATGCCCATCAGCCAATAAGAGTGAGTATGCAAGTTAACCCCAACCAAGATAGCTGTGGTCACAGAGGAGGAGGGAGGCTTGGGTTTCCCCAGCAATGAAGGAAGCCAAGCTTTCCGCACACCCTGGCCAACCCAGGCTTCCGCTTAAGGCTACAAAGTTTCAATTATAGAAGATACATAAGTCCCAAACAGAAATGGCGACTGCCACAGAGCAAGCAGAAGGCTTGGCTCCACTCCAGGCTACAAAATTTCAATTGTAGAAGATTAAACACCAGATACCAGGGCCTCCACTTGGGTCACGGGGGCATGGCCAGTCTGCAAACCACTACAGGCCCCTCGCCCAGGCCGCCCCACATCCCAAGGGAACCCCCACCCTGATCCAGTACATCCTTCAGGGCAAACCAGCTGGCCCCCATCCTTGCACCAGGCCTCTGTTCTATCTAATAAAAGTAATATGCAGATTGACCATCACTCCAACACACAAAATTGCTGTCCCCCATGTGGTCAAAGATCCTGCCCCTATGTGGACACAAAATGTCCACCACAAGATGGCCACCACAAATAGGTTAACAAGGGAGGGCAGTTGGGAGGGACCAGGCCAGCAGAGTAGGGAAGTTGGGGGTGATTGGGCATGCAGGGAAGGGCAGATGCGGGGACCCAGGCCTGCAATGGAGAGCAGTTTGGGAGGACCAGGCCTTCAGGGGATGGCAGTTAAGGGCAAACAGGCTGGTAGGGGAGCAATTAGGCACCAATCAGGCTGGCAGGGAGAAGTTAGGGGATGATCAGGCTGGCAGGCAGAAGCGGTTAGAGGCAATCAGGAGGCAGGCAGGCGAGCAGTTGGGAGCCAGCAGTCCTGGATTGTTAGAGGGATGTCCGACTGTCCATTTAAGCCCAATCCCAGTGGGACATCAAAATAAATGGTCAGTCAGAGATCCCTCGAAGGGTTCCAGATTAGAGAGGGTGCAGGCTGGGCTGAGGGACACCTGCCCTCCCCCTCCCCCTAGATAATAACTGGACCTCTAGTTAATAATAGCTAATAATTCTGAAGTAGTTACTATGTGCCAGGCACTGTGCTGAACATACTATCTCTTTTAATTTTCACAATGGTCTTAGGTGGTATTCCTATTCCTGTTTACAGATGGAAAAAGTTAGAACAGAGAGGGTAAAATAATTGTGCAAGGTCATAAGTGTTAATTTGAATTTAAGCTGGGTGACCTCACAGCCAATCTCTGAACCATTCTATACTTTATTAACAGTCTGCATGGTCATCTTTGTTTAAGGATATCTTATTTAACTTCTTTTTAAAAAATTATTGATTTCAGAGAGGAAAGGAGAGAGAAACATCAGTGATGACAGAGAATCATTGATCAGCTGTTTTATGCATGCCCCCTGCTGGGGATCAAGCCCACAACCTCAGACATGTGCTCGGGAACTGAACTGTGACCTCCTTTCGACACTCAACCCCTGAGCCACATTGGTTGTGCTTTAACTTCTTAATACAAATCAACGCAGGCTCTTCTATACCAGCCTGCTATAAAGCATGTATTCAAATTTCCATTACCCAAAACACTGCTGTATTTGGAACCCTCTGAGCTCCTTGAAAGATGCTGAGGCAGCCCAGACTCCTACCTTCATGGACAGTGGAAGCTGCCTCGGCTCTAGTGTCGTTGGAGAGTTTGAGGAGGATACAGTGGCAAGGCATATCACACTCCTTAGCACTGGAAAATGCCAAAATGGCTGGTCAGGGCTTTCTGAAGTTGTGATCATGAGAATTTTCCTGAGGGACTGAGAAGTTGTACCAATGTTAAAAGAGATGATTAAAAAGTTAGGTTCTGGTACCTTTTGAGTCATCCCTGTTTCCAAAATAATAGCTTAAACACTGTTATTAAAGAATTTATTAGGTCAAATAGTTTGGGTTTTTATCTTTACTCAGCTTGGAATTTGTTTGCATTTTTCTTCATGGAGTAAATATTATGTCTGAAAAACAACATTTGCCACAGCATTTTTTAAATTAGAAGTTGATGTTTTTGTTCCTTTCTGTGAGACAACTTAAATGTCTCCAAATAAGAAAAATTGAAACGTAAAAGTGTGCTCTATCCAGCCAATCTCTTATCAGATGAGAGATTCTACTGGATACTAATGGCCAAGTAGATGAACGTTATGTTTCTAGCTAAAGAAATGTATTGAAATTAATTTTTAGTATTATTGCTTTATATAAAAAGATGATTTGTTCCCTCATATTTTTGGCAGAGATGTAACATTTCTTATTACATTTCTTGTTTGTTGAAAATGCTTAGAAATGTGTGTCCTTATATTTGTTTACTTATGGAACAGTAAATGTAAGTATATTCTGGGATTATTTACCTGATCCTAAAAATGTAAATGGACATTTGGCATTTTGATCTGTCATGATAGCAAGAGCTTTTACTTTTTATGTACTAGAGTACATTTAAAGTAAATTTCACTATATGTCCTCAACTATTTCTCTTGCTGAATTAGCTTTACTTAAAAACACATGGAATTTTTTAAGATTGTAGATTTACATGGGTTTATATCAAATTGCTAATTTGTATTCTATATCTTTAACATAACATAAATTTATATGAGAGTGGCAAGGGTAATTTTCAACAAATTGAAAGTATAGGTTTATTATTTATGGGAATACTCAGGAATTTGTATTTTTATTTCCTTTTATTTTTATTATTTCAAATACTTTTAATGATTTTTATTTATTTATTTATTTATTTAATATATTTTATTGATTTTTCACAGAGAGGAAGAGAGAGGAATAGAGAGTTAGAAACCTCGATGAGAGAGAAACATCTATCAGCTGCCTCCTGCACACACCCCCACTGGGGCTGTGCCTGCTACCAAGGTACATGCCCCTGACCGGAATCGAACCCGGGACCTTTCATTCCATGGGCCGACTCTCTATCCATTGAGCCAAACCGGTTTTGGCCAAATACTTTTAATGATTTTTAGAGAGAGAAGAAGGGAGAGGGAGATGAAGAGAGAAGCATTCATTGGCTGCCTCTTACCGGAGATGGAGCCTGCAACTTAGAAATGTGCCCAAACAGGAATTCAACCAGTAAACCTTTGGTGAATAGGACAATGCCCAACCAACTGAGCCACAACGGCCAGAGCTTGTTTTATTTTTAAAAGACTGAATCCTTCACAATTCTACATCAGTTATATTATGTGGAATAAATTATACACAATATTAAATTAAAGTTATATTTATGAATATCCAAATAGCTAACTTTAATGAAAAAAAAATAAGAAAACAAAAATAGTCTACCAAGATCAAATTTTATATTGTATTCTTTGGAAACATCTTACACTATTTCAGCAGAATTGTTCTTTGTGTCCAAAAGATGCTGTCAGATTCATTAATTTTTATGGATTAATCCAGTGATTTTTCAACCAGTATGCTACAATAATTTTTAAAACATGCAATGCCTGACTATTTAGTCATGGGCACTGACTTCTTTTCCCTTAGTAAAATAATGACAACAGCCAATACAACAATAGCCATCTGGTGTGAATGAATCAAAATTATACCTATTTTTTGTGTCAGATTGGAAAAAAATTTATATTTTTTAGTGTGCTAAAGAAATTTAGTAAGTATTTTATGTGCGTCATGAAATGAAAAAGGTTGGAAATCACTGGTTTAGTCAATAATTTTATTCTAATTTTGTTGCTTCATGGGATCATTTGTAGCATTTGCTCTCACCCAGTTTAACACTATTTCACCTATCCCAAGCAAAGTGTTTTAAATAAGCTAAATTGGGTAATCTACAGAAAATAATATAATTG